CTCTCTGCATCAGCTTGCTCCCAGCCCTGCGTTTCCCATCCCCTGCTGTAAGGCACAGTGGAAAGGCAAGCACAAGTTGTGCTTGACTTGTCTTATTTCCACGTGCCCTTGCTGCCTCCCATCCCCAAAGCTTTACATTTCTCTCCTGGATTGCTGCATTAACAGCCATGCCATGCTCCTGCAGCAGGCTCTGACAGCAAAGCTCAGCAGACTCCCAGAGGGCAAAGCAAAACAGCACTATATTGAATTTGATTAACAGGCCAGAATAACCTTTACCAGAGCCACCTGGGGCAAGGAAGCAGACGCTCTCCACCTGAAAGGCCAAGCAGGTTTCCTTGTAGCCCTGGGGATAGGGCTCCTCGATGGAAAGGAATAGCAATCCAGGCACATTGGAGTTTGTGCGTGGAGGGATGGTCACAGCCTTCTGCTTGTGTAAGGGGCAACTGCTGAGCTCCCAGCCAGGGAGGAGAAAGGACTGGAACTCTTGGGGATTATTCGCATCATTTAAGCTGAGCTTCTGTACAGCACAGCTTGGAGAACCCCCTTATCTGCGTTGAGCTCATCAACTCAAATCCTAAGCAGAGACCAAATGCTCTTCTGGAAGGGTCGGGAGATCTGCAGAAATGCAGCACAGTGGATGTGACCAGGGCAGACAAACCTCAGCTTCTGAAAGTTTTCACTGCAGCAGAAGGATCAGCAGGGTAAAGCCCAGTAGAGCCAGGAGGTTTGGTCTTAGCTCTGTACGTTGTAGAGGTACAACCTGAGGCCAAGTAACTGCTAAGCCCTTGCCATGCAGGGTTTGAGGAACACATAAGCTAAGCACAGTGAGAGCCGGCAGGACAGTCCCCTCACAGTCCCCAAGGCAAGACGAGCAGAGCGGCTCAGGGATGGCAGCCAGATTCACCCAGAAGTCCACATCCTCAGAGGAGGTGATGGCGATGAAGCCAGTCCCACATCAAGCCAGGAAGTCAGGCCATAGGTCATAGTCAAGGTCTGCTGATGGCAACCGTGGTTAGACACCATCCAGTGTCACTTGTCAACTTCACAGCAGCAGAAGAGGACCAAGGCCAGGTCAGGAAGGCAGTCCATGGGTCAGAGGACAAAGCAAGAGGAACTGAGTACAATCATCATCGTTGTTCTTCTCCATTGAGAAGCTTTATCCCCAGGCCTATGAGGAAACCTGCTCAAGTCTTCAGGTGAAGAGCCTCAGCTTCCTTACCCCAGGTGGCTCTGTTCAAGGTTATTCTGGCCCCTTAATCACATTCAATGCAGCAAGGGCCCATGAAAACAAGAAAAGTCAAGCACAACTTGTGCTTGCTCTTCCACTGTGCCTTACAGCAGGGTGATCTCGAAGTTATGGTTTTCCTTGCTAAACTGAAAAGCTTAACACTATCTTCAGACTATTTCCTGGTTTCTTAACACTGCCTGAGCTGGGATGTGGGTGTCTCCAGAGCAGAGGGAGCAGCCTACAGATGAAGAGGCCTCGTGTCTGTTGGCTCTGAGGAAAGCCAAGCACCAGCTTGTGGGGACTCCTGACACTTGTACATCTGTGTTTCCATGTGGTCTGGTGAAACTGGAGCTCCTCAGCATCTTTCACATAGGATGGTAACTTTCATGTCTCCAAGTGCTAAATAACCCAGAGAAGAAACCCCGCAACTCCTCTGGGCTCCCCCCACAGCTTCACCTCACCTTTAGAGGGAAGCAACTTGCAAGATGAGCAGAAAGCTTTTGCTCTAATGATGCTGCAGTGCTCAGCAGCCCCTTGAGACTCCTCATAGGCGTTTCGGTGTGGCCGAGGAGCATGCTGGATGCCTGGAGTCATTGCCAGACCGGTACTCCTTGATAATGGAGACATTAAATCAGTCATAGCAGCAAGAACTGCATAATAGATGCAAAATAAAGCAGAAGCCTGATCTTATTTTGGCTTTGCCTTGTCAAGTAGAAAAATCTTTTAGGAGATGGAAAATTACTGGGAAGTTCAGAGTTCATGCGTGGCACGAGGGGGGGGTGGCTGCAGTGACTCGCCTGTGGCTATAGGGACACATCTGTAAACACATCCCATACCATCTCCACGGCTCTTAAGCACAAAGGAGATGGACAGAGTGGGTTCCAGCCAAGGTCTGGCGTTGGATAAAGTGAAACACTGCTGGTCCAGAAACGCTACATATGCTGATATTACCATGTGGCTTAGGCATTAATTTGGAAAAAAAGTGGGTTTTTTTGGATAAAAATGGCTTGTCTCCCCCTTTTTCCTGTTCACGTACTCCAAGCATTCACAAATGCATTGCGTGTGTGTGTATAAATACGCTCTGTGCTCAACTGAGGCCAAACCGCTTGTGATGGGATGCAGAGCCACGCTGTTCTCCCAGGAGTGTGCACACAGCACATCCAAACTAAACCGGAGCAGGATCTCGCCCATCACACCTTGTCCAAACCAAGATGCTCTTCCAAGCCAGTCTGACTCAGCATTTGTCACCAACCACGATCCCAAGGGGTATGACCACCAGGAAGGACACTGCCCAATGTCACCAAGGAGAAGCCCCACCATTTCCCACCTGTGCCCAGTCGCAGTCTGTGGTGGACAAACCTCACCTGCCCAAGACTCATGCTTTGCCCCAGGTTGGTAGAGGCACAATGCAATGTTTGAATTATGGCAGTGAGAAGCTGAGTGCTCAAGCTTGGCTAAACCCAAGGTTGTCAGGGGAGCAAATCCTCGTTCCATCAGAGCGCGTCTTGGCTCCCAATCACCACAGCCCTGCAGTGAAACCCTTGCTCTGTTCAGCTGGAACATGCCCCGGCACGGCACTCCCCATGCAAACCAGCGTCTGTTTTCACCCCTATCTGCACCCCTGTCCAGGGCAGACACCTGATGCTGTCAACAGCCAAAGCCTGCTCCAGGGACCCTGAAAAGCTCAACAGCAGTGAGCAGGGGAACGTGCCTTCAGACTGGCATTAACACTGCACCGAGCGGCTGATGCCAACGTGAGCGAGGGCGCAGCTGCAAGAATTCATTGCTCTGCTGGATGCTTGCAACACAGCGCAGTGGGAGGGCATCACTGCTGCTGTGGTGAGGGTTCAGAGCGGGCAAAGTGACAAACAACAGCATCTTCCTGTTGTCACTGCTCACACTGTGTACCAAGTGAGGTAGGACCGGGGTACGGGAGGAAGCTGCAGGACAGAACTGAAGGGTGACAGTCACCAGCCCTGTCCAGTTCAGCAGCAGGGCAAGGAGCTGGAAAATCAGGGGCCCCAGACCATCCCTGGGTATTCTTTCATGGTTTTTTTTGTGGGACCTGTGGTAACTGTGTGGGTCAATTGCTGTCCCCAGGGATGGCCATGCCTGTGGCCTCTGCCATGCAGAGGTGAAGCACCACCAGCCCTGTGCCCAGCCCGGGGGACCCACACTGGGCCTGGCCAGGCTGGGGGTCCAAGCACCGACAGCTCTGCTATTTCCAAGCATGCATTTGGGGGGGGCAAAGGGAAGGCACACCAGAAAAGCGTCTCTGTGGGCTGCTTGCCGAAAACCCTGGTAGACAGAGACCCAGCGGGAAGGGAACGAAGCAGCCAAAACAGTTAAACAAATACACAGGAGGGAGCTGGCAGACAGCAACGGCAACACGCGGAGCCAGCTTCAGGCTGAAAGTCATGTGCTGAGCCCCCAGCGGGGCTCAAGCACCGCCAGCTCCCAGTAACAACCAGTAACACACACACATCACCGTGACACACCCCACTGTGTGACAGCCAGGGACAGGAGCAGCTCACAAGTGCTCTTGAGCACAGGTGGGAGGAGGCTGGAGATGCTTCATGGCCCTGCAGCCCTGCACGTTTGCTCCAGCCCTCTGCTGTCTTGGAGAGGTTTTAGTGCTTCTCTCAGCCTGGAATCCAAGGGGCAGCCAAGACATGAGATCAAGGCTGTGTAAAGGGAGGGAGGTGGGAGAGATGTACCGTGATGGGACAGCCTCAAGGTGACTCAAACATTTACAGGACAGAGTCGATTAGTGCTCCAATAAGCAGCAAAACAGGGAAGGAGCCGCCGCAGACAGGCCCTGGCTGGGAACTGCCACGTTCCTGTCGCTGTCCTATGGACAACCATGTCCTGGTGTCCCATGGCTGAGAAACCAGTGCTGGCTGTTCCCACGAAGTTGAAGAGCAAATACAAGATGTGATTGTACTCAAAGCCAACCCCCCAAAGTGCTGCGCAGCTGCTCCAGCATCCAGGCTGCTCAGTGACGCTCTACCTTCCCCCTTGTGGCTGCAGGAGTTCCCAAAAGAGGAGGACACACAGAAGTATTGACAAACAAATGTATTTAAAATGTAGAATAAGAAAATTGCATGTGAACACCTCCAGCTCAGGGCTCCTCCATGGCTACTCCTGAAAATGGCACCATGGGTGCTTCACCCCCAACAAATGAGGTGAGAGGTGGTGTTCAGTTTAGGTGCCAGCTCTTCAATCCAGCCCTGAATTCCCATCTGCTAACAGCTGCACAGAGATAACACCCAGTAAGGCAGGGGAAGGCCCTTCAAAAGGCTCCTGGATGCTGCCCCAGCACGTACCCAAGGAGCTTTCACTGCCCATACAGACCACCACTATCAGAAATAGTTGTGTTTTATTTCAAGTCTCATCTTCCTCTGCCCCTTGCAGAAACCAAGTGCAAGGTCAGCCCTTGCTGGCACCTGGGGACACGTCAAGTATCAGGAGCAAAGGCCTGGAGCCGAGGGCTGGCTGGATCACGGGGAGCCAGGAGCAGTCTGTTACCACCCTGCAGGCTGCAGTCACCAGAGATGGGCACAGCGAGCCCCTGAGGGTGTTTGCAATCCAAGGGGCGCGCATATGGCAGACAAATGCTTTCCGAATGCTCCCACTTGGTCCCTCTTGCAGATGAGCCCGTAACAACTAGCGAAAAACAACAGCAAACATGCCATCGATGTGGCCAGCAATTCTCTCCCTGGTGTGCTTAGCTACAAGGCAAAACAGCGAACCAAGTTGCTAAAGAGACTTGGCTGGGCATTTAACTACTTAACTCTGTGCTGTTTACAAGCTCTTCAGCAGCTCAGCACCCCCATAATCCACAAAGTACAAAGCAAGTAAGAGAATGTGCAGCTCGGTCCCTCTGGATCGTGACCTCTGTGGTGTTCCTGGGGGTCTATGGGGATCCCATCTCCCAGGAGATGCGGTGACCTCCGCCGACAGCCTCAGAACTGCTGCACTATCAGCTTGCGCTTCACATCCCGGCTGAACCTGTTCATCCTGAACACGTCGCTGTCGTAGAAGGCAGAGAGGTTGTGGATGTTGATCTGCCGCGCCTGGGAGAAGGAGGAGGGGAGGAAGAGGTAAAGGTTTATTTAAAAAAAAAAAAAAAGAACCATGTGGTTTTACATAGCAGAGAAGCAGAAGATGCATAAAATTTGAGAGTCAGCAATCTCTGCTCTGCAGGGATGAGAACTGCAGCAGCAGGGGAGACTGCAGGTCAGGAGGAAGCAGCATTGGCAGAGCTGAGCTGAGCAAGAGATGATGCTGGTTCAGCATCTGCCTGCTCTCTGGTTGTCCTCTGACTTCCACCAGAGCCAGAACGCAAAGGCCCCAGTACCGCACTTCTGCAGGACACCTGTAACCGGGGTGCTCACACCCAGCTGTGGCTCTGAAGTAGCTGCTCTGCACATTTGATGCAAAGAGCAGAAAAGCAGCAACTTGGGAATCAAATGCTCCTTTAGGGCCAAGCAAGGTCAATGCTTCACCCAGAGAGGCAGTCAGAAGCAGAGCTGCTGCACCCAGATGGGGATGAGCCTCAGGATGGACTGGGAAAGTTCACACAGAGACTTCTCTACTTATTGATTTTTCAAACACAAATACCAAGGAACCTGTGTCCTCATTCCTCTGCAAAGCAGCAGCTGTACTGTGGGATTTACTCCACCCTCAAAGCTTCATGGAGTGCGTGAGAACTGAGCAGGAAGAACATCCCCGACAAGCCGGTACCTTATCCACCAGGTCCTTCTCTGGGACTTCGATGGTGTCCTGCTGTGCCCCGTAGCGGTTCCTCTGGTACATCACCTGCTCCGCAACCAGCTGCTTCAGGATGAACAGCAGCAGCTCGTTGTTGTCTCGTTTGAATGAAAGGTAGCGGGAGAACGTCTGCGAGAGGGGACGAGGGAAGACGAGAGGGTCAGGAACTGAACGATGCACTGCATGCCTGCGCTCAACACCACATCAAATCTACACCCGTCCCAAATCTGTGGATTTCAGTTCATGCCCAGCCCTGGCGCCTGTTGGGAGCTGGCAGTGCACGGCTGTGGCGTGCTGCCTGCAGGGAAGCAGCCCTGGGGAAGGCACAGAGCAGCTTCCCTTAACCCAGGCTGCCCTGCACCTCCCCAGCAGCCGCTTGGATTTGGCCGCTGTTTGCAGCCCCTGAGCGAGGCCACGAGTCGTCCAGACTGAGGGCAGACACCCGAGTGGATCAATGCCAGACTGTGCAGCCAAGGGCTGCTCAGAACCAGCCCCTGCTGCTTGGAGGAGAGGGCAGACTGTGCACTACACCAGCGAGCACTGCCCTGCAGTCAACTGTCCCCTGAGGAGCCCTACAAAAAACGGGAAGAAATGCATGGCACAATTCCTCCTCAGCCCCCAAAACATTGCCCTGTCACAAATGAATGAAGGGCAGTGATGTAGCAGCACCTTCAGACTCACAATATTCAATTTTTACTCCATTTCACAGACTCACAGAATCACAGAATATTAGGAGTTGGAAGGGACCTGGAAAGCTCATCCAGTCCAACCCCTGCCAGAGCAGGATCACCAGACCAGGTCACACAGGAACACGGCCAGGCGGGTTTTGAATGTCTGCAGAGAAGGAGACTCCACAACCTCTCTGGGCAGCCTGGGCCATGCTTTGTCACCCTCACAGTAAAAACGTTTTTCCGTATGTTCAGATTGAACCTCCTATGCTCCAGCTTGGGACCATTGCCCCTTGTCCTGGCATTTGACATCACATTTGCATGGGCTCAGTGCCCAGTGCTGCAGGACAGACCCCTGCAGAGCCCAGAGAGCCTCTCCCCATGGCCAGGGCAGTGCAAGGAGGCTGCAGTCAAACCCACAGAGTCTGGGGTGCAGCTACAGCCCCAGCTCCGCCCGTGCCCACCTTGCGCATGCTCCGCATGACGCTGAACTTCTGCGTGTCGATGAAGCTCTCCAGCATCACCCGGATGGCCATGTTGACGTCGTCCTCCACCACGTAGTCCCGCAGGTGCATCCGGGCGTGAGCCTCGGCCATGCGGATCATGGACTCGATGTGACGCACGGTGATGGGGATGCTGCCGGTTGCCTAAGGGGAGAGAAGAGGAGGCAACTCCTTAGTAAAAGAATAAAAGCCACGGGGCAAGACAAGCGGCTTCTAGCCCAGGACCTGCTTAGCACTGTAGGGAGCTGCTCCTGGACCTTTTAGGGCTGCATCAGGCTAAGGAGGCTCTGCCACCTGCTGGCACTGTCTGCAGAGTGGGACAGGCTCTCCTGTTCAACACTGTAATTCAGCAAGGTGGGAAGAGTCTCTCCTTGCCATTGTTTAGTGCCTTTCCAGGAACAGCAATCCCATTCCCTCCAGCAACTTTAAGGAGTTAAAGAAGCAAAAAAAACAATTAAAGAAGAAATCACATAATTTTCCCAAGCTCAAAAATCTTTCTCTGACCTCAACAGATTCTTCTTCTGCTTGGAAAAGATGAAACAAGCCTGAGAAGATCCCACGGACAGAAGAGAAGGGCATTTGTACACAGAATGGCTCCCTGTAATGCACCAGGAGCATATGTGTCTGAGCGACTGCAAACATCTCCTGCCAGACTGGCTGACAGGAAGAGTTTGCCATGGCAGGCACTGGTACATGTCCAGTCCATCAGCCCCCAGATCAACAGGCAAGGCTCTGTGTTTCGATGAAGGATCATCTGTTCTGTTCGGCAGACTCTGCAGGATCTGCCCGTCTCTCACACAACAGTGCCACAGACTTTTGTGACAGGAATGGCAAGAACGTGTCAACATATGCTGGAGCAGTCTCAGGCTGAGTTGCAGTCTAGATATGTATTTTTTCCCCGCTTTCTGCACTATTCTCACCATAGACTCTTTCCTGAGGTCGCTGTACATGCGGGCCACCTTGTCCTGGTCCATCTGGTTGAGTTTGGGGTGGACCTTCTCTTTGGCATAGACGATGTACTTCCTCAGGATCTCCTGGGGAATGGGTTCAACCCCGTATGTGTTGGGAAGAACAACCTCACTGGCATCCCCATTCGCTGTCTCCTTGCTACCTGGGTGATGCTTGACATGGCTGCCAACGACGAATCGGGCAAGCATTTCATCCTACAAGAGACCAGCGGGATAACAGACACCGTAAATGGTCACTGGAAAGCAAAACTTAGTGAGCAACTGCAGCTGAGCATCCCAAGAGCAGTACCACAAGCCCAGCACAGGCTCAACTTCATAGCACAGCTCATACCTGCACAGGGTCCACTGTGTCTCTCACCACGCACAGGATATCAAACCGGGAGATGATGGGCTCTGTCAGGTCTACGTTCTCCGAAAAGGTCAACGATGGGTCGTACCGCCCACCTACAGGAGAGACACAAACCTCCAAGTCAGACGCAGGCTCCAGGGCTGAAGCTCTGAAGCAAGGCACAGGAGGTCTGTACCTCCTACATAGAGAGACTTCAGTGCTCATTTGATCTGGAGAAACCAGGCACACTTCTCATAGCAGCAGGACTGGTGCTGGAGGCCCAAGCTGGTCCTGTGGCCCCTCAGTGCTTACCTATGGGATTCGCAGCAGCAATAACGGTGCAGCGGGCTTGCAAGGACGTGACAATGCCTGCTTTGGAGATGGAAATGCTCTGCTGCTCCATGGCTTCGTGGATGCTGGTCCTGTCTTGATCATTCATCTACAAGAAAGCAACGATGACTGAAACAGAATCTATGTCTTTACCCATTGCCCAGCACACCAAGGGGCATTAGCTCCTGCTGCTCTGACAAGGCAGCAAACTGCAGTATGGACCAGTAAGGGCCTAAGCAAACCGCAGGGACCTCAGTCAGCTGGGACATGGCACCACGAATTACAGCATCTCCTCATTGCAGAGGTTACAGCTGGTCCCTCCCCGCATAACCTTGCACTCAGAGACGAAGCTGGGCCTCACCTTGTCGAATTCATCGATCAGGCAGACACCTCTGTCAGCCAGCACGAGGGCTCCTGCTTCCAGTGTCCACTCCTTGCTTACTGGGTGCCTCTGGACGTAGGCTGTGAGACCCACAGCAGAGGCGCCCTGGCCAGTGGTGAAGATTGCTCTGCTTGATGCCTTCTCTATGTATTTAAGAAACTGGGATTTTGCCGTACCAGGGTCTCCACACAGCAGCACGTTGATGTCACCACGGACTTTGTGTTTGCCACCTACAACAGCAATGGGAGAGACACGTTGGCAGCTGAGGGCACGGCTGGATAGCAACCCTGCCATGAACTCCACGAAGCTGAAGGAAAAGCAAAGAGTAGGCAGGGAAACCACCTCATAGGGAAGCTGAGGGAAAAAGAAAGCTTTGGAAGCAGCTGAGTGTGTAAACCAGCATTACTAACCTTGCTGAGGTGATTAACAAACCAGGACACCAAAAGGCCAAACCTCTGATGGGACATCAAACAGCTGAAGGTGCATCAAACACAGCCTCCCAGAGGAGGAGGGACAAACACCTGCCCAGGTCTGCAGCAGGAGCTGTTTTCAGTTTGGAGTGTTTCTACTACCACAACTGAGTTTCCAGCACAATAAAAGACCCGTCACAGATACCCTTCAGTCTGTCACCAAGACACAGACAACTCCAACCACTCATTGCCACAGCACAGACAAACCAAATCCATTTGGTCTCAGCTGAGTGAAGTGACACAAGCGACACCCACCTGGGTTTTTGGGCTCTCCACCGAAGAGAGCTAAAGCCAAGCCCCTCTTGATATCTTCATGCCCGTAAATAGATGGGGCAATGCTGGCAAAAATCTGAAACAGAAACCAGAGAAGTTATCCAGGGAAGATAATTTCCCAGCCTGGGTAGAACTTGGCAAGAAAACCAGCAAGAGGCCGTATCTATGGCTACCCTGATAACACTGCTGTCTTTGGAGAGTCTTTCATTATCTATGGCAAGGGGGCTTTTTCAAAGCTAACTACCACCACGAGTCCCCTAAAGATGCTTTACAAAAAAGGGTGCTGCTGGGACATGGCAGATTGTCTGATCTGGTGCTGGAAGCTGCTGTCACTGCCTCCACACTCCTGCTGTGCACAGAGCACAGTGCAGCGGCTGCTATCAGCTGCTGCAAAGCTGGAGACCTTGATTTGAGACTTCCTCACTGCACCGAACAGTAGTTGGATGGGCTGTGCTGCACATGAATTGGCATCATGGTCAGATATTATGAACAACTGGCTTATTTTCTCAAGGGTATTCTGATAACAGCCTGATGCTGGAGACTGCCGATGTTGAAACAGTCCTGGCTCAATCCAAACTGCTGCAGCCCCTGGGAACAGCAGTCAATATAAAACCAGCACAGCCAAGGCAACAGGTGAAGTCTCCCCATTACAGAGCTTAAACCTGACCCAGGTGAGGTTGAACACACACCAACCCAGGAGCTTTGCTCTTTCAAGTACTGGATTCAGGTCTTCGCATGCAGAGCGAAGCAAAGCCAGGATCTATACCACAGCTTAAGCTAAGTAATAACATTCTCTTAAGGGGACTGGAGACGCAAGCACTGGCCCCACAGAACACTTCCCCTGCTTTGCTTTCAAGACAGGGGGAGAAAAAACAGCAGACATGAGCAGAGTCTGAGCGCCTCTTACCCATCCTCCAGCCCTGCTGTGATGTGGAAGGCAGGGAAGAAACAGAAAATCTGAACCCCAGAACTAGAAGGCAAGTTTCTTATTTACTTCCGTCCCACAACTCACTCTTATCAAGAGCTGTCTGAGAGCTACAGAAAACCTGAAGACCATGCTGAGAAAACGCAGATTTCTGAAGTTTCTTTAACCACTCTTCAGCCAGCTGCCACCTTCCATCCCTTTCTGATCCAGGTGATGGCAAGCAATCAACAGGAGCAGAAGGGCTGTCTGAGGCTGACCCACCTTCTCCCCGATTTGCTCATCCTTGGACAGACCCACAATGACCTTCACATCCTCATCAGTCAGCTCCCCGACCGCCAGCTTGTTGTCCTTCTTGGCGATGTGGTTGGCCAGGATCACAGTCGCGAACACCGGGAACCCGTTGGCGGTGTTCAAGGAGCCATCGTAGTTGTTGTGGTAGATGCCTGTCAGCTCCTGAGAACCAGGAGATGGTTTGTCAGTGCCTGCACTGCACAAAACAAACCCCTCTCCAGTCTTCCAGCCTCAAAAGCAGCTGCCCAATGCACCTGAGGACAGGGAAGGGACCCAATCCCTTTCCGCAGACGTTCCTGTGGTGTCAGAGTTTAAAACGCACTGTGCTCACCCCATATTTTGGTTCAAGGATGTACTCACAATCTCATCCCCTGGCTTGCAGCTGTCGACCAGGTCGGCGAGGAGAATGGCGTCCTTGGAGCGGGGCAGCCTGCCGGCAGCCACCTTCCCAGGGCTCTCCTGGATTTTGATACGCTGGTAGTTCTGATACACCGTCTGCAGCAGCAAAAGAGAGATTTGTTATGGTTTAGTTTGACAGCTATGGGCGTGGGGAGATGGAGGTCGCTGGGGGCAAATCCAGAGTGTGACAGACGACAGCGGGGACAGGAAAGCACTTTGCCCCATCTCACCACTGTGTTTCAGCCTCCACAGCCTCTGGGTGTTGGTCCACCCAAATACTGGACCAGAAGCTCTACATCAGTGATTTTGCTACTGTTTGATCCTGGCAGATCAGGAAATACTGACCTAACTTGGGCAGGAGGAGAGCTGGATGCTCTGCGTCTCCATTTCTACAATAAGGATAGGTAACTGCACACTACAGAGATGATTATGGCAAAAGAGTCAGCTCAAACACCCACAGTGAGGCAGTAAATTACTTCTGGCTGTTGAACTGGGCAGATTCAGGTCAAGAGCAGACAGACAAGATCTGTCTTCACAAATCCCTGGGTACAGCATAAGATTCCTCTCCCAGCACCAAGCCTGAGCACAGGGTGGGAGCCACAGTAGGGCTGGGAGCCACAGTAGGGCTGGGACATCTCTTACCTCTTCCATGTTGATTTCAAAGGGGCCAAGAGACTGACACTCTGGGCAGGAACCGGGCTTCACCTCCTGGTTCTGGGACTGGAAGAAGGGTCCCAGGATGAAACTGCACTTGCTGCAGTTGTATTTGACCATGCTGAGCTGAGGCAGGACCCCTGTGCAACTTGTCACCACACCACTGGTCCGGATCAACTGGTTCAAGTGCAGTTGCCTGAGGACAGACAGACAGATGCTGGGTGCCTGCAGGGCACAGAAGGCAGAGCACCCTACAGAAATATTCTTGCTACAAGGCACAGCTCCCAGAGGCCTAGTAAGAAACAGACACCCATAGGATTTTAGCATAGGGTTTGTGTTTTACCGCTGGGGACGTTGAAGTTCATCGCTAACCTGACTTTTCCTGCAATAAGCTCAGTTGGAGATATCCAGAGGTTTAGTTGGCAGATGAGTCCTCCTGAGCATCCCCAAACTTGCTGCAGACCCCACAGCCACCACTGGCGATTCTGGCGCTTACCTGAGTGACCGCAACTCTTCCACCAGAGGAAGGTGGGAGATACGGACGTGGATCTCCTGAGCAATACGATCATATTTGGGGTACATGGCCAACACCACTTCCTTCGCGGCTTCATCAAAGATCTTCAGCATTTCTGCTGGGGCCTCAGGCAGAAAGTAGGCCAGGACATGTTCCTGGGCTGCCAGATCCTCGTAGTTCACCACCAGGCTCTCTCTGTTCTCTTAAGAAAAAGATGGGGTAAGTTGTATTTTCAACCTGCTCATTCCTCAAGCCATCAGCCAGAGCAGACAAGCCTATAGCCTGCAGTTTGCAAGTGTCTGCATCTTCCCTGAAAAATGTTTATAGAGGTTGACAACTTGAAAATGGGTGGAAAACTCTTTTTTGATCTCTCTGACAAATTCTTTATCAGTACCAAACTTGTGATTGTTCCTCTCCAGTTTAGCACAGCTCAGTGTTCCCAAGAGTCAAAATCTATCAATGACAGCCTTAATGACTGCGTCTGCTGGCAGTGCCTACTCAGAACACGGGGCTGAACGCACTAACATCGCTTTCAAAGTCACAAGGTCTGTTTATGTCCCCTCACTGGATAACCCAGCTTCCAGTGTGAGAAAGTAACCAGCGCAGACAGCGAGCAATTGTTGTCTCTCAGACTGCAAGCTTGCAGACCACTGTCTGCTGCCCCACATACTCTTCTGCAAGCATTTCTACGATATGAATATTAATGAGTAGCAGACACCAGGGGCCTTCTAATTAGTCAGCCAGAATCAAAGAAGACAGCAGACACGTTTCCATTATTCATTTCTCTCCATCAGCATCTGAGTTTCTTAAAGTGCTGACTCAATGTCTGGGACAAATAAGGCAGGCAGAAAAAATGCACCTAAGGGCTGGATCACTGCAGCATACACTGACCCACATAAAGAGGAGAGAGCCTCCAGTTCCCCAGCTCTACCTTTGCACATGTCGCTGATCCTCTCCTTGAAGACGTTGTGCCCGTGGTCATCCACATGGGTCTTCAAGAAGTTCTTGAAGCGGTGGTAGATCTCAAGCCGGGGAGCTGCCATGGAAACCCACTCCCTCACTGAATGCCCTTTCATGTCTTCCAGATTCTCAATGCTCTCAATCATGTCTTCATCTTCCTCTTCCATGCCGTCGGCAGCTCGTTCTGCCAGCCGCCTCTTCCGTGAGGGACGGTCTTCATCTTCATCATCACTATCTAAGTGGGGAAGAAAAACTGTTACAGAGCTGGGACTCCCATTGCCACTCTTTGGATGCGTCACATTTGGATCGCACGGGCTGTGGAAGCAGCCCATCAGAGCCTGGGATACACACCAAGAACCATCCCATGCCCAGCTTAAATCCAGTCCTATTCCAGTTCTACATCTCCCATAATGTAGCTAAAGACTTTACTGGGGCAAACAAGATTTGTATGCAAGCGCACACCATCACATCCATTAAAGCACTGAGGGAGGAAGGCCAAGGAATGGGCTTCCAAGTGCATGGAAGCCTCTCCCACCTAGCCCACAGACGTCTGAGCAGGAACAGGAACACCTCCACACCACACAGTCCCAAACCCTCGACAGAGGCCCAGCATCCCTGCTTTGTTTCGGCGGTGAACGTGTAACCAGAACACATCAAGGGAGCTCATAGGAAGCCCAAATCAAAGGGATCCTGCACTGAGGAGTCCAGCCAAGCCCACAGCCGGTGATCCGACTAAGAAACCTGATATACTGGAGCTCTAGGGACCTCCCTGTCACTCTGGGGTGAGAGCCCAGCTTCCCCACAAGGAGCAGGTTACAGTCACCCACACGAGGACCAGCAGCCTGCTTGGTAAGGCTCATCTCCACCTACCGTAAAGCAGACCCCTCCTCATGCGGCCCATGCCCTGCTCCAGCTCGCGGTCCCGCTGCCTCATCACTCGCTCCGCAGCTTCCCGCTGGCTGGCGGTCAGCTCCTCCACTTCTTCATCATCCAAGGCCAGGCCCTCTGCTTCGTAGACGTCCAGCTCGGGGATGGGGCGGTAGTCCCTAACACACACACAAAGCATGGAGTCAGGCCAGGCTCCAGCACACATCTCTCCAGCCCTTTAGCCACTGCTGTGGAGGGGTTAGGACAGTTCTCCTGCAGCAAGACTGAACAGAAGATGCCCTGCAGTACAAAGGGCTCCAGCACCACAGTTATGAATGCCAGCATTCAAGCCTTTGTACCGTAAAGTTCACCAGCTTGTCAGCAGGCCTGGCTGGGTCACAAAACATTAACGTTTAGGTCTGCAGGAGCAGGGAGCTGAGCTGGATGCACATCACACACCCAGGGAGGTCCGGGTATGCCCACACTGGATCATGATGGCACTCTGGTCAGTTCTTCCAGGACTCAAATGACACCAAGCCCTGACCTGTCCCCACTGCCCAGCAGCGATTCGCCCCCTCGCCACTGCCACCAGCACAGCAGAGTGACCCAACCACGGCTAAAAGCTCCCCCGCTGACACCATCCCCATCCCCAGACACACTCTCCCCTCCAGAAGCTGGCTCCCGCCGCTCTCCTTACCTTTCCATCCCTTCCCCAATGAGCTCTTCTCCTTCTTCCTCCTCCTCGGGGAGCCCCTCGGTCCCCAGGAGCCCTTCGGACTCATCCTCGAAGGGGGGCAGGTCCCGGCCGGGGCTGGACGTGAACGCATCGC